ACGGACAGGCTCTCTGGATAGGGCGCAAGCTAGGCGTGAAACTTCGCGCCATTATTATCGGCGAGATTTACGCCAAAGCTCTGAGACGTAAAGCGGGAGCCTCTGGAGATGCGGGCAAGAAAAATCCCGAAGAAACTCCTCCCAAGAATAAGAAGAAGAGAGCCTTCACCTTCGGTCGAAAGAAAAAGAAGGCCACAACGACAGATCCCGAGTCAGAGGGCCAGGACGCGAAGGAATCGGGAGATGGCGATGCTCACTCGGCCAATACCGGTAACATTATCAACCTCATGGCTATTGACTCCTTCAAGGTCAGCGAGGTGGGTGCGTACCTTCATTTCCTGTGGGCTAGCGTGCCGGTGCAGATCACTATCGCTGTCACGCTTCTGTACCGGCTTCTTGGGTTCAGCTCTTTCGCTGGCATTGTCATCATGGTTTTCATGTTGCCGGTGAACCTGTTCATCGCAAAGCAATTTACAAAGGTCCAAAACCAGATCCTCTCGTCAACCGATGCGCGCATACACGCCACCAATGAGATCCTGCAGAACATCCGGATCATCAAGTATTTCGCATGGGAACAGCGCTTTGAAGATACCGTCAACGAGAAACGCAAGGCGGAACTCAAGGCTTTACGCTACCGCTACATTATCTGGTCCACGGCAGCAACCGTCTGGTACGGAACACCACTTATTATCACCTTCGCGTCCTTTTTCCTGTACACCGTTGTTGAGGGGAAGAAGCTGACACCGTCGATTGCCTTCCCGGCCCTGTCGATGTTCTCCTTGCTTCGTATTCCGTTGGATCAGCTGGCCGATATGGTGGCTCACGTCCAAGAATCAAAGGTCTCTCTGGACCGTGTGGATAAATTCCTCAATGAGGAGGAAACTCAGAAATACACTCAGTTGGACGATAGCAATCCTGCCGGACAGCCACCTAGGATTGCGCTGGAGAATGCCACACTTACGTGGGGAAGCTCTAAAGGCCAATATAAAGATGACCCGCAGAGTGATACTACCGACGCATTCCGCTTGATCAATATCGATGTAGCATTCCGGACTGGCAAGTTGAATATCATTACTGGAGCTACAGGCTCTGGCAAGACATCTCTCCTGATGGCACTCTTGGGAGAAATGAAACTCCTGGACGGTAGTGTTCATTTGCCCGGTGGAACCTCTAGCCGGACAGAACTTCCGGTCGACCCACAGACGGGTCTGATGGAGAGTGTGGCGTACTGTGCGCAGGAAGCGTGGCTAGTCAATGATACCGTCAAGGGAAATATTGTTTTTGCCTCACCTTGGGACCAGCGTCGCTATAATGCTGTGGTAAAGGCTTGCGCTCTGGAACGAGACTTCAGTATCCTCGATGCCGGTGATCAGACTATCGTAGGAGAGAAGGGTATCAGCCTTTCAGGAGGACAAAAGCAGAGGATATCCCTCGCCCGTGCCATCTACAGCAGGGCCCGCCACCTCTTGTTGGACGACTGTCTGAGTGCTGTCGATTCCCACACGGCCAAGCACATTTTCCGAGAGGCTCTCCTAGGACCGTTGATGTTTGACCGAACCTGTGTGCTTGTTACCCACAACATTGCTCTGACTGTCCCGCAAGCGGAGCATGTCATTGTCCTGGACAACGGTAAAGTGACCGCCCAGGGACATCCGGACAAGGTAGCAGCGTCCGGAGTGCTGGGCGATGAACTTCTCAAGTCACGACCCGCATCTAGATCTAGCTCTCAGCGTCCTTCTCGAATGCCGACCGATCTCGGAGACCGTCATGAGGACGAGTCGCATGCCACCAACGGTGGAATCACCAATGGCTCGGCCGGAAAAGACCACAAACAAGAGGAGGCACGACCGAAATTGGTGGAAGGAAAGGCTACTGGTAGTATCAAGTGGTCCACCATCAAAATGTACCTTCTATCTATGGGCTCATGGTCCTACTGGACGGGCGCCTTGTGTGTTTTCTGCTTGCAGCAACTGGGATCCGTATCTACGAATATTTGGATCAGACAGTGGGCCAACTCCTATCAGACCGAGGATCTCGGAACAGACGATGTGGGAGACTACGCGGCCATAACGAGTTTCAAGATCCCGTCATTCAATGCTGGGGGTGTCCCACGAACCTCCACACAGAGTGCCCCCCACTTTGGTACGCGGGCAGCCACGGGGACCTACGGCGATGTTAATGTTGCCTACTATCTCGGTGTGTATGCGATTCTTGGATTGTTATACATCATGATTTCCTTGGTCAGAGAGGGTGTTCTGTTCTGGGGCTCCCTGCATGCATCCAATCAGATCCACAAGCGTCTTCTGAAAGCCGTGATGCATGCCAAGTTCAAGTTTTTCGACTCGACACCTCTCGGTCAGTTGATGAACAGGTTTTCCAAGGATGTTGAAGCGGTCGACCAAGAAGTTGCTCCGGTGGCAATCGGGATGCTTCATTGTCTGGCCACGGTGGTGATGATTGTGGCTCTGATTTCCGTGATCATGCCCGGTTTCTTGATTGCAGCTGTCTTTATTACGTTGGTCTACTTTGCACTGGGAGCTGTGTACTTGAATGCCTCTCGTGATCTCAAGCGACTCGAGTCTGTGCAAAGAAGTCCTCTGTACCAGCAGTTTGGCGAGACCCTCAATGGGATTGTCACCATTCGTGCGTACGGCGACGGGCCGCGGTTCATTGTGGATAATCATCGGCGCATCAACGACTACAACCGGCCGCATATTTATCTCTGGGCCAGTAATCGCTGGCTTGCCCTTCGCGTTGACTGGTGTGGTGCCTTGGTCTCCTTCTTTACTGCGGTCTTCGTCCTGCTCAGCATCGGAAAGATTGACGCCGGCGCTGCTGGTCTTGCGTTGACATACGCAGTTACATTCACCGAGAACGTTCTCTGGTTGGTCCGTCTCTATTCCGAGGTTCAACAGAACATGAACTCGGTCGAACGAGTGAAGGAGTATCTCGAGGTCGAGCAAGAGGCGGCGGCGGTTATTCCGGACTCGAGGCCGCCCGCCCACTGGCCTAGCGGCGGAGCCGTTGAATTTGCCAACTACACTACACGCTACCGACCGGACCTTGATCCTGTTCTTCGTAACGTTTCCTTCACAGTGCAGCCGGGTGAAAAGGTCGGCATCGTGGGCCGCACGGGCGCGGGCAAGAGCTCATTGGCCCTGGCTCTCTTCCGTGGACTTGAAGCTGAGAAGGGACGTATCGTCATTGATGATGTAGATATCGGCTCTATTGGGCTCCGCGACCTGCGAGAGTCGATCACGATTGTGCCTCAAGACCCGACTCTTTTCACGGGCACCATCCGGAGCAACCTCGACCCATTCAATCTCTTCACGGATGAGCAAATTTTCACGGCGCTCCGTCGGGTTCACTTGATCGGCTCTGGAACATCAGGAACCGCAACCCCTGTGGCCAACAGTGCGGAACCCATCGCGACGGCGAATGGCACTGTTGTTCTTGACAATAAGAACGTCTTCCTCAACTTGGAGACACCGATTTCGGAGTCGGGATCTAATCTGTCCCAAGGGCAGAGGCAGCTTATGTGTCTCGCCCGGGCCCTTCTGAAGGACCCCAAGGTGCTGATGATGGATGAAGCGACGGCTTCCATTGACTATAATACCGATGCCCGAATCCAAGAGACGCTCCGTGAGCTCCGAGACAGCACGATCATCACGATTGCGCACCGCTTGCAAACCATCATTGACTACGACAAGGTGCTGGTGCTCGACCACGGCCGTGTGGTGGAGTACGACCATCCGTGGACGCTCATCAACCGGGAAGATGGTGTGTTCCGAGGCATGTGCGACAACAGTGGGAACATGGAGACCCTTCTGGATGGTGCCAAGAAGGCCTGGGAACATAAACGGCTTGTGGATGACTCATAGACTTTACGTATAGCTTCTGTTCTGCATATTTATTTTCCCTGACCCTTTGTCAATCTTCATCCCAGCGAAGATCCAAAAGTTTTCTCGGCTCAGGGTATAATTCTGTATTGTTAATTATATCGGGCGTATAAAGGAATGTGCTCTTGAGTTAATATGATAGTTTGATCTACATTAGAGTTTCTAGTTCCTGATGCCTGGTGTTGACGATCGAACGATACATATGTTGCAATGTATAACTTGGTGAATCGATGGTTGATTGCCTACGGATATTGCCCCGACTTTCGGGCGTGGAAGAGCATGTGGAAGCATGACCGTCGTAGAGAGTCGTTCTACACTCCCCACTGGTTGAATGGTTTTTTTGTTTTTTTATTATTTTTTTTTAAATCATCATTCCTATAATTAGTAACGCAAGGGTCAAGATTTTGTTTCAAACAAACATAAAAATTCTGTTAGTGGGAGTCGGAACTCTCGGATGTGATGTAGTGGAAAACATGGATTACACTTTTTTCATCACCGAGAGAATGGAGTTTTAGGGCATGTCCACGGTGAGCGACTCTTTTGATAATTGGACATATATATGACTTCCTTGTTTTAGCACAACCTTGTTGAAAATACTCTTGTCAGAAAATAGGAGTTGTAGAAGTCGTAGTCGTAGTAGTCCTACTTGTAGTAGAAATAGTAGAAATAGTCCAAGCTATAGTGAGTCGTGAATCATGATCGACAAAACAAGATGGGCAGCTAAACCCGATCACGCCTAGCTCCACCTACTTTAATTCCGATAGGATCCGCGACGCCAAACAGTCGATCAACCACCACCAGCAGCTGCAGCTGCAAGACCGGAGCTTTGCGGATATACCAATTCCGCCAGTCTCTAACGCTGGAGCCTAGCGAAAACCCTCATTCAATGATATCACCGGTGCCACTGAATTCATTCTGACATAACTTTTCACTGCCGTATGACCGGCGACGCCGCGTAAGTCCCGGCTGCCGAACCAAGAACCGTGGCGTCTCGTCTGGCAAAAGACTTCATCTTGCAAAGTCAATTTACAGCGGGCGTTGGCTATTAAAGGTGGAACAAACTTCCAACAGGAATTGTCTGGATGTCGTGATGCAAAAGGACGGCGATAAACTTCTGCGCCTCTTGGGTGTGGAGCTGGGGGCAGAAGACCAAGATAGGCCATTTCATCATATGGTTACATTGATAGGTCAGCGATTCTAGATCGACGTCGGCTGCCTGAATCTATAAGAGTGGCCAGTGGTATTTTGTTCACGTTCCGCTGCCCCCGGAAACTTTTAATAAATCTGTGCTTGCGTGCTTGGTTTAACAACTTATACATACACCCCACTGCGTCCCCCGTGCAACAAGTTTGTATCAATAAAATCACTCGACTGGAATTATAAATCACATAACCATGCGTATCTTCTCTGCCTTAAGCAGTCTCCTTCTGGCTGGAGCTGCCCTCGCCCAGAGCTCTGACTGCGCGCCCAAGTCCGGTGATGTCCAGACGGTTCAGTTCGCCTGGGCTCTCCAGTATCTGTCCGAACGATTCTGGTCGTCTCAATCGCTCAACCAGACCTTCCTGAACAATGCCACCAATGCCTCCAGCGCTAACTATGAACCCAACTTCAGGGGCATCACACGCGAGAATCGTCTGGGCGTCCGTGCCGTGCAGCAGCTTGGCAAGGGCCTCTCCAACTTCACCGCTCCTCGGTGCAACTTCACCATCCCCCCAGCCCAAGACGCCGATAGCTTCCTCAAGAATGCCCTACAGGTTGAGCAGACCGTCGCTGGCGGCCTCATCGGCCTGGCCGCCTACACCCAATCTCCCGAGGTCTCCTTCCTCCTAGCTCGCCTGGCTGCCCAGCACAGTGCGCAAGCCGCTTACCTCGGCTCTGAGCAGAACGCCACCTTCTTCCCTTCGAACAGCACCTCTTTGATCCCCGCCTACACCCCCGACCAGATCCTCAAGACCGGCAACCAGACCGGCAACCAGACCGGCCAGCTAGGTACCTACCTCAGCCAGTGCGTGACTGCGCCCTCCGGCCCCTGCGGCCAGAAGGTCAACATTGGCCCCTTGGTTGCAACCCTGAACTCCACTAGCACTGGCGGTGGCAGTTCTAGCTCTGCAGCCCCCTCCAGCACCGCTACGGAGACGACGTCTGCCGCGACTTCGACTAGCACGACAACAGCTAGGAGCAGGAAGTACTTCTAAGCTTCGGATCGAAGATTACTGGGTCTATCGACAAGTCAACCGCGACAATCCGCCAAAGATATACTTCGCAACCTTCGTAGGGTTGAGAAAGATTGAGTGATACTTATGGTGACCATAATTCACATATTAACTACTTTCTGTAATCATCTTGTTTTAATGTCCCAGTGTGTGGGGTTAATATAATGCGCCAAGTTTGGATGGATTCTGTGTTATAGTTGGTTTATATAATAGTTTATAGTTTCTGGATCTATAGGTTAGGGAATCAATATGTTTATGATGAGAGATGGCTACTTGTTCTAACCCAAGCTTAATCGCTGTTAACCAATTGGTCAATTCAGCGTAACTGATTGACATAGTAGATCACGTATCTTGTGGTAAATGGACATGTATAGTAAGATGGTGACTTTGTTAACCTTCGGGTTAGAGGGTCTTGGAACGTTGACAGTTTCAAATAAGTTCTGTTGCCGGAGAATCCTTTTTTTGACGTCTAGTGTACCATGCCAGGACTTTTACCCAATGTTTTTAAGAGAGAATGGCCTCAATCTCCCAGAAAGGTCGTTGGCATTATCGGTGTGGAACCCGCGGAGCGGACGGGAAACCCTGTGGTCACTTTCATTATTCCTTAACAGAAGTGGATTATAGCACCTATCGTACAGTGAATCCAGTATAAGGCTAATAAATAACTTAAGTCTAGGACCCACTATAGAGTAGCTGTCTATTACTTTTCATTTCTAAAGAAGGTTACTTAACAATGCAGGAGTATCTCATATTGACTGTCAATGGTTCGGGAAGAATGTACTAAGCTCGGGATTAAATAGGGCTCGAATGAAGCCTGGTGAGTAATGTTCGTTCACCATTGCCTCCAGTCAACCAGACAATACAGAGCGCTGAAAGTATTTAAAGCCATTGATATGGCCCTGTTATTTTCAAACGGACTACAAAATCCATCTACACTTCACAGACGATCTGATTGACAAAATGGTCCTCACCGTCGGTATCGCTGGCATAACCGGGAAGTTCGCCCACCGCGTAGTCTCCCACTTGCTCAAACACTTCAATGTGATTATCCGAGGATACTGCCGTGACTCCAGCAAAGTCTCCGAGTCCATCTCCTCGGAGAAAGTGACCTTGTTCAAGGGCGACGCCTTCGAGAAAGAGGCCATCCATACCTTCGCTCAGGGTTGTGACGTGCTGATCTGCTGCTACCTCGGCGACAATAAACTCATGATCGACGAGCAGAAGATTCTGATCGATGCGTGCGAGCAACTAGGCGTTCCCCGTTACATCACGAGCGACTGGGCCCTCGACTACACCAAGCTGAAACTGGGCGAGCTGTTTCCCAAGGACCCCGTGATCCATGTTCGCGCCTACCTGACCACAAAGCAGAAGGTCAAGGGCGTTCATATACTGATCGGAAGGTTCATGGAGCCGGTTCTGAGTCCTTTCTTTAATATCCTCGATCCCAAGACTAACAGCTTCCGCTTCTGGGGCGAGGGCGATGAAATCATGGAGGGAACTGCCGACGATACTGCGGCCCAGTTCACTACCGCGGTGGCTAGAGATCCCGAGGCAACTGGTGTTATCCGCTGTACGTTTCTGTCTGGATGTTTACTTTTTACCATAGTTACTAAACTAACGATACTATAGTCCTTGGTGGACGAGCCACCATTCGCGAAATCGTTCAATCCTACGAGAAGGTCTATGGCGTGAAGGCGAATCTCGAGAGGCTGGGTTCCCTTGACGATCTCTACAAGTTTATGCACGAGACGCGGGCCCAGAATCCCGCTGATATCTACGGCTACATGTCGCTGTATGTTACCCGCTACTCTGGATAATCTGCTATGCTCATGGACTGACGGGACACAGGTTCTTTTACTATTACTGGATCAACGGACAGACCTTTGTCGGGCTGGGGCTTGATAATGACAGGTATCCCCAGGTCAAGCCTATCAATTGGGAGGAGTATATGAGGCAGTGGCCTTTGGAGCAGTTTCCTAGTTCTTATTTTGCGCTTAATGCTTGAGCGTTTGTTATCTATCATGCACATTAGCCAAGTTTGATTGCTGTTGCCCAGAATTAGATGAGAGATATTAGTATGATAGTGTATAATCTCACTGCTTAGAATAAGCCAGTACACACGACTGTAGGGTGTGCCACAACACATTCGTTTCTAGCATATACATGCGAAGATGAATGCCTCCAGACTCATATGACCTCAACTCTGCTTCTCTGCATTGTACCTCATTCCGCTAGCCTTGGCCTTTTTCTCTCTGTCAATAGTTGTAATGGGCCTCTCTTCTTATATAGTTAATTTACCCAACTATATCAACATCTATCAACATCATACTGTCCTCGACCAGCAACGCATTCCACTATGTCGTTATTAAATATGTTTTATATACCTGTAGTATCAATATTACAACACAATTTGCCACTCCCTTCTTATTTTATATTTAGTTCTTGAGCGTTTACTGGCCATCGTGTATATTATAATATTCATTGGTGTTAGAATAAAATCTCTAGAAAGCTCCGTTGCGACGGGAAATCTCAGGTCCATCACTAGAAATGAAACATGGCGAGTATTTCCTGTCTTCAAGGTTAAAAACGAAAAGGAGGAGCGTAGTTGACTTCGCAGGGTTTTACAGCAAGACTCAGATCACGCTGGTAATCTATCTTTGTGGCAAATCCAGTTAACAAAGTTTTGACTGTACTCTTCGAAGTAATGTATATTTTCAATCTCTACTTAATGCCTTCTGGCTCAGTAATATCCGCACTTATTAAACCTCACCCACATCTGCGTCACCTGACAACCCCCTGGATCCTCGTCACAAGGGGCATGAAGCTTGGGATCAGTATCCCGCAAGAGAATTGCCGTCGAGCAATGGACCGTATGCTCGGGATCGAGCACATCATCATCCAAGGGCTTCTGACTTTGAAAAGCAGCATGGAATTTCCGCCACGAGTATGAACAATGATACATATGCCAGGACCACGAGCCCCAGGCGCCGAGGTAATCGCCCCGCTTCCACTTCTCCTCCGGGAGCTCCTCTGTACTCCGCGTCTGATTGTTCGGGTAGAAGTGCCATTCGTAGCTGGTGAGGAAGTCGTCGACTAATTCGGCATTATAGCACTCGGGTCGTTGCCATGCCCAGGACATTGGGTCGAAGATGCAGCCGAGCGATCGGGCTTCTTTGATCGAATGTCCGCAGTGGCCGAATTCGGCGCCCGTTGGATTCGTTTTCCCACCGGGGGTCGGTGGTGCAGTGGTCGCGAGTGTTTGAGGTTGTGCTTGGACTTGCTGGAGGAGCGCGTCGAGTCGGCCCAGGTTGGTTGAGCAGATAGTAGCGAGGGTGATTCCTAGGAGCAATGATAAAATGGCAGGAATGTAAGGGATCGAAGAGTGGCATGCTCGGAACTTGGCCCGGGGATGAAGTGTATCGAGCTCGGAGGGATTAGAGTGTGTCTCGTTTAGAAGTGATCTATATTGCTCTTTATCTGTTGGTGTCTATAATGAAGTGTTAGGCCGGGGCTTTACTTCTTCTGTGGGCTTGGAGTTTGTGTTTACCATTCTGTTTGTGCCGGTATGGGTTTTCTCCCTCACGGGGACTTGAGAAAGTGAGATAAGTGTAGCCCAGAGAGCCAATATAGAATAAGACTTTCCGCTCTGCTGACTGCATAGATCCCTGCAATGGCGTCTTTGGACCCTTTTCTTTGTTTCCCGACCTTATTGGTCTACAGAAAGGGGGGGGGGGGGGGGGAGCGGGATGTATACGTAGCCATTTAGGGTTACATCGATGATGAGCCATTTGTCTAGCACCGTCTTCAATCGGTGTTTTTAAATACTCACTTTTCTCTCATAAAAAGTACTCTCTGTATCAAACGCAATCCCACCCAACGTGCATAAGCATGTCATCCTGGAAAACCGAACCGTGTAGTGTCGCCGATGCCCCCGCTTTAGCCGACAATAATATGTCAGCATTCTGGGAAGACCCAACATGGATCCTTCTGTGGCCCAAGGAAATCACCCTGGATTACCTGATCTCCCAATGCGCAAAGCGATACCCCAAGATCCTGCTGAGCTCTCGCCAAAACACCCGTCACATGAAGGCTGTCGATCCAATGACGGGCGAGTTGGTCGGATATGCGCGGTGGATTTTACCGGATAGCCACCTTGTTGCGGAAGATGGGACTCCGCAGTGGGGGGAGGCGCAGATCCCGGACGTGAGTGAGGAGAAGAAGATAGGATTCCAGGCATTAGCGGAGTCGGCGTGGTGGAGTGGGAGAAGCGATATGCATTCCATCGATGACCTTAATGATGAGGTTATGCATCGGATACTGGTGCAGAGGCCGTATATGAGTAAGTTTGGGGGAGTAGTAGTAGGAAGAGGAGGAGGTGTTCTTGTTGGGCAATTCATCCAGAGTGGCTGATTGTTGCTTATAGAGCTTGACTATCTGGCGGTTCATCCTAAGAATAAGGGTAAAGGCATTGCGACGGCTCTGGTTGCTAGCGGTGTCAGGGCGGCAGAATCAATCAGCCTGCCGATTGTTACGATGTCATATAAGGCTGGTCGTGGGGTGTACGCACGCTTGGGGTTTAAGGAGGTGGATCGAGTCATTCAGGATGACTCGCAATATGGCGGTGCTGGTGAATATGGGGCGTACTTTATGATACGGGATATCGGCAACTGATGTAAAGGCTTGAACACAACCTATGTACATACTGGGTTTGATGAGAGTAGTTTATTTCTCCCAATACTTGCTACCTTCGTTTACTAATCTCATATAATTCTACGGGAGACTTGTCTTCTAAACGCATGCGGTACGGATTATCATGTCAATTGATCAAAGCTATCAGGAGTAACTCAGGTTGTTACTGGGGATTTGGTTCATGGATAAGGTGTTGCTCATATTTCGAAGGCTACTACCAGACGATATGGACAACAAAGGATGATATAAAGTGACATCAGGGGAACCAGGTCTCTCCTCTTAGCCGGTTGGTGCACCACTCTCTCTCATAGAACAGCTCATTTACTCTTCTTCCTCAGGAACATCATAGGTTGCATATTTTTCTTTGGAGCGCTTGTCGGGGACATCGTACACAGCATACTTCTCCTTGGATCGCCTGTCAGGGACATCATACACCGCGTACTTCTCCTTGGATCGTTTTTCAGGCACATCATAGACAGCATACTTGTCTTTGGATGGCTCACGACTACCCAATGTTAGTTACCAGTACTCCCCTTTGTTTCGCGCTGAGAATATAGCTTAGCTTACACTTCGAGAGAGTTGGCCGGGGCCGGAAGAGCTAGAGCAGAGGCAAGTAGCCCGAGAGTCACAAATGAAGCTGCAGTGAAACGCATCTTGGAGTAGTCTGAGATTTAAGCTTGGAAGGAGGGTCAATGACAATATTGTCTTGCCTTGTTTGAATCATAGAGATGCTGGTTGGCGGGTAGACGGGTTCTTAAACTTCTCTTTGTGGATAGTCGGATTAGATTGTCTATTATGGCGAAAGATGGTGAGGGATTTATTTTACCCTCACAGGTTCATATCCATGATGTTTGAGTGTCGATGGGCAGCCTGTATTGAATGGGTGGAACCAGGAACTGGCCCGGGTACCGCGATTTCCGTAATAAATTGGAAAAAGCCCTCACCTAGTTGCCTTTACTGGCGTAGCTGCATATACCACATCGGGTAAACCCTGTTGAGGAGAAGGCTCCATGAAGGCCTCCCTCCTGATGTTGTTGTATAACACCGTCACCCGGTCTTGCGCGTCGATCACACAGCAATCGATAGAAATCTTGGTCTGGTGAAGTGTGTGATCGCCATGTAAGCATGTATGGTGCAAGAATAGTGCTTACTGTACCAGGCCTATAGGGCCGAGCCCGAGTATCAGGTTCGGACCGTGACCTTAGACTGTCTTGCCTGGGGTTACATTGCATCATTAGTGAGAGCTTACTCGTTCTTGATCACTATCGCTACATCCGAGCTCTATCCCCGCGCCTTGTCTATATGCAGTAACGTCACACACCCCATCTGGTGAGTATAGGGCAATATAGGCTTCTTTCACTGTCTCATATTCGCAATACTATACCTCTCGTACGCAATATGTGCATAAACCACGAGACTGCATGATTACGCGTCTCCAGGATGGGGTTCATACAGGACTGTCTCGTAAAAGAGGGGTAAAGGTTGTAACAGAGATCGAAGGACGCCATATTCAATCACTGGGATAAACTAGAAGCATTTGGGAGTTTTCTCTGTGGAAGACTATGTGTTTTCCGCACGCTCTTCCTCTGTCCTCATAGCTTTTAGTTGCAACTTTTGAGTTGTGCACACTACCCATCGGAAGAATGCCATCTGAGACGAAAGAAGCGGCGTATGATCCTCTAGCCTCGGACGAGAAGAGGTTTTCGCAAAGTTCCGATGGTGTTGAAGACCAGGAAGACGGAATAGGGTTGTTAAGGCGTGCCCGAAAAACTCCTTTTCGCTCTTCCTTTTGGGCAAGGGCGGGAGGAAAAGCTGTGGCCGCAGTTAATTCTATACTACTTCTAAGCATTCTTGTTATATTGTTCGTGTCCCACCGCTATGAGTACCAGTGTTCAGAATTCGAATGTGCCGCGAAAACGTCTTACTACTGTAGGTGGTGTCACACACTATGAACAATGGCAAAGGCTAACACTAATAGCTCCGGTGTTTGAGGACCCCCGAGCGATTGAATATGAATATGTAAGGTTTCAGGGCGCCCTTGAGCATCAAAGTGTCTACAAGGGAACGCCAAATAAGGAACTCGATGAGGCATGGGTGGCCCTGACACATAGTGAGCTTTCGTGGCCATCTCCTTTTGTTAACTACATGAAACTGACATAGCCAGTGAACAATTCCGGGGTGGATGGCAAAGTTCTCGATCGTATCCAAAAGTCGCGTATAGCCGTTAAGTACCCAAAGGAACAAGGGGGACTGTATGATGTTGGCATCGAGGTTTTCCACCACATGCACTGCTTGGTATGCTGAGGTCAACCCGTGGCTGTATGAGGCACAATGAATGCTGACAATTGACAGAATCTGATACGCCAGTACACGTACAAAGACTACTACCACCGCCCAGAGAACAAACCCAAGTCTTTTACAGACCCGGAACCTATACTTCGTGCTCACATCGACCACTGTATTGAGATGTTACGGCAGTCTCTGATGTGCCAAGGGGACGTCGGTATAATCACATATAACTGGGTCCACCCCTGGGGTATGTATCCTGACTTTAGTACGGAGCACAAGTGCCGCAAGTTTGACAGAATTGTCGAATGGGCTGATAAGCACGCACTACCGGATGATGACCCCGAACCCGATTCTGAGACTGTTTGGTTATCAGGCCCACCACAGTAAATGAAGATCGGAGATGTAGCGGTTTCTTCCACCTATAGGACAGGTCAAGGCAATAGTGGTCTCAACGCCGATAATTGCAAAGTCTATGGAGGCTGTTAGAAGCCAGGGGTAGCATGTAACCAAGGCAATACGCTTGGGATAAAGCATGTATAGTTTCTTTGTTGTTGGTTGACCTACTTCTAAGCTGTTCTCTGTCATATCTTCATATTCCTTAATTCCATTAGATCATAATTACTCATTAGATGAAAATGTGAAGATTCACTATTCTCTAAAGAGAGCTGCGTTTGAAGGGCAATAGCGATGTCCATTCATAGTCTGATTTCATGAATGAGTTTCTGATGACAGTAGTATCGCTTCCATACCATGCCGATATTAACAACCATCAGTAAGCTACTCATATTATATTATCGTGTGCCTTCCGGTAGGATGATTATGATGGCTTTGTAACCTCACGATATGAATTATTCTTCACACATTGAATTCATTCCATCTTTTTTTAAATGTTACTCTTGTTACACCCACTTGTTACTGAATATATCCCCAACCTTCTGGTATTCTCTCCGTGCAGTAATAGAACGAGACACCTATAACCTTCGCAGTACCGCAGAATAGAGAACAGCAGGAAGCTAAACCAGCCTGCTACCCTAAAACTGCTTCAATTTGCTTTGTCAGAATATGCCGTAACCCTTAGGATAAAGTAACCCCTGGACAGGTTTAAAGAGCTAGATACACGCGCACACTTACAGATTACAATACATTCGGACTTTAGATATGCGATTGCCCTCTACAGTGTACCGCCGATCCTCATATCCACTCCCGGGAATTGAACAAGGTGATGCCAAAGGATACGCCATAGGGGTTATTGGAAACGTTTCAACACATTCGATTGCAAAGAAGACATTCTTACTCCGGGGTTTGAGTACAGATTTAAGCTAATCAATCGACAAGAGTATAGCAGCACGATTTTACGTGCCTCTTGTAAAGGAAGTAAGCTAAAGAGCATGTGCATTGATGTAGGGTCACATGAACTGTACAGTAGAATAGAGAGAGAGAGAGAGAGAGAGAGAGAACAAAAGAACAAGAAAGGTGTAATTTTTATTTCTATTGCCTAAGCTAGAACTTTGGTCGACACATTACCAGTGACGTATTGGTACTTAGAAAATGTGAGGTTCGTCGACGACCGCATGGATGATTGATCCATTGCTCCTTGCTCCGTCGGCGACATTTTTGTTGCTACTTTCACAAATGTGTCCTCTGCTGTACACGAGAAGTTTCTTTGAATATTTAGTTACAGGCCATATTCAATGTTTATTTTTTAGTTTTATTTTTGCCGAGTAGATTACTGGGTTATACGGAATCAACGGTGATTTTGGGCCGTTCTGGGCTCCCTCCGAACCAGGCAAGCCCGCCAATCCTACCTTACCTTATCCCGGTGGTACTGTTACTACCGTACTCCATAACCATCGCGACGTGGCCACCCAGACGATCCTTGCCCATTCGAAGCATAGTTGTTGAAAACGGCATGGGCATCTTTTTTTGTCGCAGTACCTGTGGCGAATACAACCGTATATTAACGTATAGTTCTACGTCGGTGGAGCACAAGAAAGGTCACTACCACCTACAACGGCTAAAGTAGGGGCCCGGTCGATAGCTCCTGTGGTTGTCGCTTGCACTATATTGTCATTATGGTTCACGATAAAATTGAAAATGTTTTGCAAGATACTGTTCAAGTTTTGACGAGGGCCATCGATACTCTGAAGGCCAATAAGGACGAGGTGGTTCAGCGGTTACATGATCCAGATAACTTACCAGAAAGTTGTTTGAATGAGCTCTCAATTAGAGCCAATGATTTAGCGCACGAATTGCGGCTGCTGCTCGAGCCTCGGCCTGTCCTAATCGCAAATTACTTTCTCGGTGAGCACAGCGTCGTTTCAGATTTTGTCGGTTGTCTCTTGGAGCTGATTTCAGACTGTAGGATCCGCAAACTGCAAGTGTCTCAATGCCGCCGTTGAGCTGGCAGTGGCCGATATACTGGGTCGGGATTCGATGACACTGGCAGACCTGGCCAAGGCATGCGGTGCGAACGAAATTCGACTGAAGCAGATTATGCGGGTGTTACATAATGATGGAATCTTCGAATTTCATGCGGCATCGAGCAGCTACAGCAATAACGCCTGTTCGCTCCTCCTACAAAAGAAACACTGGACGAAGTGGTGGTATTGGGTGGATCTGTACGGGAACGAGTTCTATGAGATGGCTCGAGGAATCCCGGCTGCTTGTCGACAAGGCGAGAAGCGCATGCCATCTCAGATCGCATTTGATACCGATATGAGCATGTTTAGCTGGTTTGCGGCTCAGGGCTCGCTGCATCGCGTTCACCGCACCCTAGGAGGGGGTGCCATTGCGCAGGCACCCGGAATTCTGCAGGACTACCCGTGGGAAGAAGTCATCGACGGAAAGACAACAATCATAGATATAGGTGGTGGTGGTGGTGGCTTGGTTGCGACTCTGTGTCGAGCGTTCCCTGACCTTCACGGAGGCATCTTCGACCGACCGGAGGTCATCCAGCATGCGGTTGAAAACTTTCATAGTCCTCAAGGAATCTATCAAGATATCGGACACCGAGTGGCACGCACAGATTTACGCGGAGGGGACTTCTTTCAGGGTGTCCCCAGGTATGAAATCTATACGATGAAATGGTGTTTGCATGATTGGGGTGACGAAGAGGCTGTCCAAGTCTTATCAAATATCCGCAAGGCGATCATTCCGGGCCCTCGGTCGCGCCTCATTTTATTTGAAATCCTCTTGCGAGAGGGTCGGTCTGGCCACCTTGCCCGTATGGCAGATTTGTCGGTGTTTATGGCGGCGAATGGACGGGAGCGAGACAAGGCTGAATGGTGCTCCTTGGCTTTGAAAAGCGGATGGAGCATTCGAAAGGTTTACAATCTTCGCAGAGCTTGGCCTAGCGCTATGGAATTGGTTCCTGTCTAGCTTGGACTGGATAAATGAATATGATTTACTCGGTCCTGGCACGGGGCTAAGCTGTGAACTAAAATGGTTACACCATAATGATCATAACACCAGTTATAGGGCAGAAGCCGTATTTAATAATATTGCCAGTAATCATTTATTTGAACCAGGGATGGGCGAATAATTGATAGCTCCTTAGTCAAGTCCGTCCATCATACCGGCCGCCTGCCATACACGACGTAAAGTCGTTGGTGGCCACCAATGCGGGCCAATTCCCTAGCAGTGTGTTTTGGAAGATCGTCGAGTTCCTCACGGGCTATGGTAAGTGGAAGGGCTGAAGGGTGTATACAACCGTCAGTAAGAAATGAAAGACCGGAATAGCAGGAAACTAGGGATCCCCAAATAAATGATAAATACACTGACCTCGAGCCATAGGTAGGAACCCTTCAAGCGCAGATGAAATTTGCCAAATACTTTTCTGGGCACTCTTTAAGTTTAAATTGCTCGCACCCACCGGCACGTCGATAATCTGTTCTTCAATGTCGCACATTCCGGCTTCCTCAAGCCAGCTCTTAAGGCCTTTTGGGTAGTCGTAGCCGGTGCCAGATAACGTAAAGATTTGTCGAAGGAGCTCTTCGGACTTGGCCAGCCCCCCTGGGTTTGGGGCGTTATGGTCCTGCTCGATAAGCTCTATCCATCCTCCTGGCTTTACAAGACCACAAAGTCGTCGTATTGTTGTTGCTGCGGGGGAGTAGTCACACCCCGGAATGACTAGGCGCTGATGCACGTAATCGAAGCTTTCCTGCCAACTTGGTGGCCAAGCATCGTCCGCGCGCTGTAGGTGGAAGGAGATTTCGTTTGGGGAATCTCTCGGGAACATCTTCTTCACGGAGTCAGTTCCGACATATTCATGACTATAGGACGGTAAAGACTCCCGCAGATCATGTAGCCATCTACCTGTGACCTAGAATGAGAGAATGCCCAATATATATCCAGTGGCCACTTACCATCTGCAGTTCCGCTGTCTAGAATGCGTAGCCTGGGTCGGTGGAGGTTGATCGGCGCAACACATAAGACGCCCATGTGTTCGAGGAATACTTCATGCTGTGCTGCAAGACGAGCTAGTTCATCGGGATGAAATTCAAGATGATACTCTCCTTTTTGCCTTTCTCTGACAACGGTCGACTGAGAGGGTGAGCTCAGTGGGGAAATATGGCGGGAGTGCTGGATCGTGTCCATTCTGGGTCAGAAATACGTAAATCCTTTAAGTAGCCCCTGTGTCAAAGTGCTGGGACTGGAATAGGGTTGAGGATGTTGATGCACATTTCTATACCTTAAGACTGCCGGGCTTCCAGTGGAAGAATGGATACTCCGGCTCAATCGGCTGTTCGCCGCAAGCTCGAGCTCGGCTTCAAATAATATGCGCGTCATCACAAACATGAAAAGAGCTGGATTCGGAAGGCCTCCACATTCGCCCCCATGGGCTGAGCTGGAATAGCTGAGATGCGCTGCGCGTACGTTTCAATGGGCGGAATACGTATTTTAAGCCTTGAAATCATCTCATCATCGAAGTGTTACGTTCTTTAATACCTAATTTGATCAAATTGAGTCTAGAGATTTGTCTGCAACCGTTCAAGATGCTCGACTTTGAACCCATGTACTTGGATTATCAGGCCATGTTCTATGTCAGCTCTCTAGCACTGATGCTACTGGCGTTGGGCCTCCTAGTATGTCAGGCAGGGGAAAATGGCACATTGTTGAATCAAGCGCTCTCCTATGCTATCGATGTAAGTCATAGACATATGACTACATTTCACACAGTCCCAGGCTGGGGATGCGGCTAATATCTTTGAGGCCTACCTTTGCTTCCGAAATCCGCTCAAATCTCAAGACGGGCGGACAAAGGTTCCCTCCTGTCCATACCAGTTTCCCAATGGACAGGGGAATCTCGCGAAATTCTATGAGGGGGCTTCTTTGTCTCAACACTGGCGGGAGAAGTATGGACCTGTGTATAGAATATGGTCGGGATTAACCCCGGAAATGTGAGTACCGATCATTCCAGTGAAGCAGATGGCCCGGTCCCATAGTGGAATGCGAGTGCGCTAACGATAATAAAGTGTCGTGACTCGATCGGAGCATGTGCGCTCCGTCTTTCACGACTCAAATTTGCACGTCAAAGGACCCAACATGGACTCGGGTTGGCTTATTGGAGAGCTCCTCGGCCACTGCCTCGGGCTCCTGGAGCCCGACGATTGGTCGCGTGTACGTTCAGTTGTTGGCGGCCCATTTCACCACAACAAAGCAGTCTCATATGTGGGTTTAGTCCAGCGTCGAGTGGATGAGCATTTCGAATTGCTTCGCAAGTTCCAAGCTACTCCTGACCCTGGAAAGGAAATCATTCTTCGGCCTTCCGAGGACTTCAAATTTCTTCCTTTTTTAGTCCTGGCTGAGATCATTTACGGAGAACTTCCGGAGAATTTGAAACAACAACTCAAGGAGATTGCCATTTTGCGCGAAGACCTCTGGAAAGCTGGAATGTCCGGCAAGCTGTATCGGTTCTCTCTGGGCCGACTAGTACCGACGAAAACGAACGGCTCACTACGGAGTTTCAAATCCAAGTGGTTGGATTTCAATGAACGAGCGTTTCGCCATGCTACTGAATCCGTCCCAATGGCGCCAATAGTCACCATGTATACCGCAATGAAAGACGGGAAAATCAGTGAAACTGAACTCCTCCATACACTAGACGAAGCTCTATTTGCCAACCTTGATGTTACGCTGGGAAACTTCTCCTGGAACCCTATGTTTCTCGCAGCAAACCCACAGATCCAAGAAGAACTGCGCAACGAAATTAAAGTGATCCGAAATACAGAACACAAGAGCTTCGAAGGATATTTTACATCCCATTCGACATTACTGCACGCCTGCATTCTGGAGTCCGCTCGGTTGAAGCCGATGGCACCTTTTTCCATCCCACAGGCAGCGCCGACGGACCGGGTACTGGGTGGCTTCATTATTCCAGCTGGTACAAACTTTGTAGTAGACACCGTTAGCCTCAATATCCTTGATGAAAAATGGGGACCGGACACTATGCTTTATCGGCCCCAGCGATTTCTTGAAGAACAAAATCCCACCCAGCTACGCTATCGCTATTGGCGATATGGATTTGGTCCGAGGCAGTGCCTCGGGAAATATACTGCGGATGTCATTTTACATGTTCTGTTAGCGTCCTTGGTAGAGAAGTATTATATGAGACTGAAGTGTACCGAATATTCCGACCTGGAGGGGTGGCAGAGAAAACCAGATACATGGATCAGCCTCGCTATGGAGGACATCGTGTGCGAGCCGATTTGAGTGCCAGATACAAAAGACTTGCAAGACATTTTTGATTGTATTTAAAAGTCAGAGTTCTTCCCGTGCGTAGTCGCTACGCCTGAATCAAAGCTCCGGAGAATTTGGCTCCAAGGAATGGCCAGCAATTCCTCCACTTGCCGGGTTGAAACTGACATCCATGCTGAAATACTCCACTCAGAATGTCACATTCTCCGACACATTCTTTCCCCTTCCTACTAGCAATTTTGTACCATTATTGCACGGTCGTCCAAATGCAACCGGTGAACTGGGCCCTGCCAATTTTCACCTTCCAATGCTTCTCCCTTATTAGTCCTGAGGTGACGATGAACGCATCTACATGGCCAACTTCTTCTGAAGCATGCCAATGCACAGCTCTCCATTTTTCACTGCAATATAATGGTCATTCGGAGGTTAAGATAGAGTAGGTACATCGGAGGTAGGATTGGCCAGTATATACATGCATACTTGTATGCATATCGTCACGATTTACGCGTACTGTACAGAGTATACTGAAAATGAACTCCAAGTAAAACCCCGCTAAAAGCAATCTAATTGGGTGGCTGAAATCGATTACCATACACGGTACATTCCTGAAACCCCCGATACAGAAAAATTCCATCGTTCTGTCTAATTCTTCACACAAACTTGCTTATGAAGGAGTGTAGTGTGTCGCTTTAACCAATTATATATTTTAAAAAAGAGATATAAAAGTCGCGTGCTCTACTACCTTTTAGTATCTTTAGATTCAAAACCTTCCTAGGTACAACACATCCACCTCTAAAATATATATACTTCTCTGCCACACAATATTTTATGCAAGTTAGAATACCTGTGTATTGAAATAGATCAGTCATGTTCCCATACGTCCACTATTAGTCACGTTCCATGGAACTGCCAGATCAACTTCTGCTCATGGACTCCGTATACGTCTTCCATATACTCACACTTCCGGTTGCGGGACGGAGTAAATGTAACAGACATTATCCAAATAAAGAGAGGGTACAAACCGATACGGTGATTCCAATACATGGACGGCGATATGTCCTAAATGTTACATTACTTATGTTGCCGTGCAAACTCTCTGGGGTAAACTACCTCAACCGGGTAAGTACTAAGGCTCCTCCTTTGCATCACTTATGATGACCCACGATTTTGATATCCCGCAACTCTAACAGTGCTATTTGTTTCTCTATAAGGCAGACAAGTGTAACCTTCTTGCCGATAAGCGTTTTCTTTCTTTTAAATCAATGACTATGACATACCAACGATAGGACCAATCAATTAGCAAAAATAGTGCCACAGAATCTCAAGACACTTGAATGACTACACGGGACTTAAACATCAAGGCTGTTTCGGTCTCTAACCAATAACCAGGTCGCATCGTTTAACGACCTACCGAGGAGTCATGTCGTCACGGAAATTGCCAACGCTACATATCAAATGATGATACGCATATTGAGGATAGAACCTTGGTAACATTCATAACCTGCACGAAGGTTGTCCATCTATGACGAAAACAACGGTTGTCTAGAGCAATCAAACACAGCCGATAAAACATGTATATCCTACGTCATTCAAGAGCGCTTCAAAGAAGATCGAGCATCGAGATAGAGCAACACCATAGCCCCAGAGAGCTGTGGTCAGCAAGGTCTCAGGGATCCCTTCACATTATGTGTACACCAAGTATGCAGATATGGAGGGGCCTATCTCATTATGTTTGTCCTATGAATTCCGAACATTGTATGATAAGGGCTGCCCGGCTGTATGACCCCCAGTAAAACTGTTTTCTGCCTGATGCTAGTTGTTCAAGTCTTGACGTCGAGACTCTCCAGTAAATACAGTTAAAAGCTTCAGATCCCGGGCTTTCTCCGTGTCTACAGTTTTGTCTCGTCTTTTCTTTCTCCCTTTCAACTTGCACTACCATCATCTCTAATCCTAAATCGACAATTGCAACCATAGTATATATATATATATATATATATATATATATTTTATCTTTCTATCTGGTCGCCTCCACAGCCGTCAAATCGGGTGAACCGCAAGAAACACGCAGCATGATATTTACAGTCTTGCCATTCGGTGCGACCAACAGCCAGCAAAGACGACTATACTATCCCCTTCTTTTAGCAGATGTTGTCCGTGATTGCACAGACGCCATTGATGCCCTCACAGTATTTCACAATCTCCTTTCTACCAAAGAGACTATCGGCAATGGGACTACGGGATTCAAAGCATTTGATGGGCATGTGGGAGACACCGCTTGTCATATTCGTGCTGGAATACTACTCGACATATTCGCCTTCTACCGTGAGGATCAGGGCGAGGTGATGGGCTGCAGACGTGGAGAACTATCTATATCTAGTTACATTTCGAACCTCAAACTTACGTGTAACAATGCGCAAATGGCCTGCTCCAGACTAACTTCAGATAATGTCTGTCCTAGCACGTTGGGCTTTGGGCCAAAGCATGACATAATGGAGAATATCATCACCACACTAGGATGGAAGGAACCAAATGATCGTCTGGGTTTGAATGACGCGGTGGACCCGGAGTGGAACGTGGAAGATCCGCAACTCATTATTCGCTACTTGGTTGCAATGTTCGTGCTGGCAAAGTACAAGGAACATTGCAAATTATCGTCGCACAACATCGTAGTGCGTCTTCGCCCGAAGAATGCCGCCGTGTATGGCAATGAGTTGATATCCCCATTCTGGGATCGGAACAACTGCCAATACAAGGAACCGGGCTGTAATCGACTCGACGTCCGGTTTGCTGCCCTCCAGAAGTGGGTTTCCGCGCTTTCCTGCTCCTGGGTCAGAGCTTGGTCGGAAAAGCTTTTCGTCACCCCAGCCACACAAAGGTAATGGGAAGTTCGCGCATCCCAAAATGATATTGATTAACAGGGGAGCCTAGGCTAGTTCGTTCTTCGGTGTTGCAATCCCCAAAGGGCCTTCTTGTTACTGCTACGTATACTGGATTCCTCGTTTGTCGTCAGGTTTGGGCGAAAAGCCAGTGGCCATTGCTGTTAGTAGATCGCCATTTCTGTTCTGGAGGTACACATCGAACATATCCCTTTGTGACTCGTTCGTGTGCATGGCTTAAGGCTGGTACAGGTTATCATTTGAATGCGTACATAGCAACCCTTCAACAACAACCAAAATCGCCATCGGACCGGCGAAGCGATATGGCCATCAATATTGCCTGGCAGATCAGGCCCAAGACGTTCAATGAGCTCCTTACTTATGATAAGGGCAATCAGCCGATGATTTCTATTCTTGGTAACAGTGTCGAGGGTCCATTGGACGATTATACAGCTAGGATTGCCAACATGTCGCCTGACGGCAGTCTTGGGCTTTCTGCGCAGCAGCACCGCGAGGAATTCTGTGGGGAGAATGTAGAGCACAGGAAGAGGTTCCTAGCAACAGACCAAGATAGACTTTCTCTGGCGTTTTTCGCTGATCACAGATGCTACCCTTTCCCCTTGCACGCCTTAGCGGCTGGACATGATGACGGAGAGTATCTACCAAGCTTGATCCGTTCTCTGTCACAGAATGACCCTACCGAAGAACACTTTATCAACTCCAAATTAGAAGTCGATGAACTCGGGGCGGGCAAAGGGTATATGGGGATATTTCGTTGGGAACATATACTAGCGGAAACGCCGGGCAGACTCGCAAATATATTGCAGGACTGGGAGGGGAAGGGAGTTTTTGCTTAGATAGAGGATTTCATTGTAGCATAAAAACGTTTTATTAAGATATACTAAATTATATGTTGACAGGGGCTTCCGTCTGGCGCCCTAAGGCCTGGAAAGTGGGTTCTTCCAGGTCGCTAAGCGGGCCCACAACGCCTAGCAAGTGTGAAATAGCTACCCTAGATACGATAGTCATAAATTCAAGAATCAGTGAGAAATGAGGCACCTTTCCACCATTGAGATTATACATTCATACTAACTTCAAATTATTCACTTTAGGAAGGCCTGGGGATGCCACTGGTTGACCCTCAATTGTCTATCTCACTCGTCTATCTTCTCCGATGGGCTTTTACGTTTCAAAACATGACAACCAACCAGATATCACTGACGGGGTTGAGTTTAGTAGTCTATTAAGAGAATTACTCAATTTTTAAGACCTTATCTAGATGGGGAATGAAACATTGTGAGAACCATGATGGTTAATAAGTAGAGACTAATAGGTTACTCTGATAGTATTGCTCCTCCATAAGGACTGAGACATTGTGAGAACCGTGATAGATTAGGACCTTGATAGACTGATATAGCGCTAAGTGGGGCGAGAAGTACCTTCGTTTGGAAAGTTAGATTAACATAGAGGAAGCGGATAACCGGCACCGTGCTACTGCTATACCTTGTGAGTTCTTCAGATGGTACCGGATTTGTAATAGCAAGAGTTATGGGGAACCACCAGGGCGAGATATTGCTCACAGATCGCCTATATAAAGTCGATGAGGCGCCGTCTCTCCTCACAAAACTCGTATTACCATCACACAGCATCATTATTAGCAACATTCAATCACTCCTCCAATTCTCCATCCCAAGTCGACAACTTTCAGCCAACATGAAGTCCGCCTTCGCCCTGTCCGCCCTCGTCTCAGGTGTGCTTGCCGCCGCCGCTCCATTCCAGCTGGTTATCAGCGGCTCCCAAGCCCGCACCAACGAGCTCAAGGACCGCGCCCTCATCAGCCAAGGGGACGCCTTCATCGTGGCTCCCAAAGGCGAACATGGAATTAACTTCACCGGTGGTGACGGAACTCTAGGCATCCAGAACGGTGACGTTGGTGAGTTCCCTCTTATTTGGGACATGTATCGTTCTTCGATACCAGATTGTCGCTAACTATTGAGTCTCAGTCTACGTTGGTACCGACGGCCATGTCGACCTCAAAAGCACCGACGGTGTCGCTGCTGGTGGTCTGACCCAGGGTTTCACTACGGGCAGCAACAATGCCCTTGAGTGGGCCCAAGGCCAGCTCTTCGCCTGTCCCCACGTATCCCTGTTCGCCGCGGGTCCCCCTACCTACATGCTTTATGCCAGCCGCTCCGGTGCCACTCTTCCCACCGGCTGCATTCAGATCAATCTCACCAAGGTTGCTGTCTAACATTTGCTGCGGCTAGTCTTTTGAGTAGAGGCAGCTGTGGAGCACGATTCGGGTCTATATAGAAAGGTCTAACTGATACATTCGCTTTCAAACTATATTTGTGTGCTTTCTTTCTATGTTCACTTTAGAGCCACTGAGAATCTATGTGATTACTACGCTACCCAAGAACCCTAAACTGGAGGATTATGTAGAATATGAAATAATTAGCAATTCCCCGCTGTCTGAGCGTCTGATTTATGATATATCAATACCAAATAGGTCTAAACAGAGTGAGCTTTTTCAGTGGCACCTACAGTCAGTAGAGAGAAAATATCTATTGCTGATCAACTAGTAATGCCATAGTTCCCGAAAGCCCGTATATATCAAGCTCCTTTCCTTATGTTATAAATGTAAATATAGAGTTGTATGTGTTACTTAATATCATGTCCTATCCAACGGTCTGGACACTTAGTGTACAAGGTATAGAACCGCCTATGCTCCGCGATGAAGTCTCCGACCACTCATGAGCTGAGCTCAACCCACTTCGGGAGCACCATTCTGACTGGATCCCTGTTGAACCACCAAGCCAAGCCATTATCCTTGTAGATACCTGCATTCATGAAAGATGGCAATTGGGCCGAGTGTTGGACCCTCATATAATGCGTGATTTTGTTAATTTCTACCCCTCTCTCTACTCTTCTCTCTCTCTCACCTTCCTCCTCTCCGTCTTCTCCCTATTCCCATTATCTTTTCTCTCCTTTCTTTCTCTCATCTCCTACTCTTATAACTATTATAAAGCTGCAGTTTGGAACCCGACCATTGTGAAAATGAAGTACATGGTGGACTGGCACCCTGAGTACCGAGTTCCAATAGTGGATGGAAGGTTCAGAAACCCGAACACAGGGGAAATAGAGGAAGCAGGGGAGATTCCCTGTTACTCCGGCCCTCCCTCAGTACACACATTATGGGTGAACCTTGAGCTTGAGTCAAACTTTCGGATGTGTGGTGCCGACTTTTGCGCTACTATCGACGAGGTGCTTCTTGCTATTGCCGAACACGTGAAACAAAAGGCCTATACAATTGAAAGCATCAACGGCAGCCCCTACTCGATGACAGTCGTTTGCAGGACCAGCAAGTCGCAGGGTGAAATGTGCGAGTATTTCAACCAGATGCATCGCGATCTCGGGAGAGATGTGTGGGTATCGCCAGAAGACGAGGCTAAGTTTCGCTCTTTCGTGGAGGAAGAACAAATGAAGGACAACCCGAGGTTTTGAGGGCGTTGCCTATGTATCATTAACAGGTGCTTCGCCGATATTGTGGTTGTCTCTATTAATAGCTCCACATTTCCACTGGAGCCTCTTTTGTCTACATAGCAATAATTGACCTCCGAACTTTCCTTTACTGCTACATAATTAAAACGGATCACCATTTATACAAGAATAAATTAGGGCAACTCACGACAAAGCGGGCGCTGTAGCTGCAGGAATTTATGGTTCCTTCATCACGCCATTAACTACAGGAATCCGCCAACTATACAGCCCATTACCTAGATAAGAACTACTTTGCTAGTAATAGTAATGTACTTAATGAGATTGTTGGGGCCAATAATAACGAAAAGAAGCTGCTTTTACAAACACTGGAACAGTTCAAAATAGCGGAACAAGCCAGCCTGCAGTTCATGCAAAGGCTTTACGATACTGATGCTAGGTCATCCAGCAATCCATGAAAAATAGATAAATAACAGTAGGGGCACAGGAATTCACTGCGGATATCTTAGCTCTTCCACAGTACTGAATGCCCCAAAAGAGAGCCTTCGCTGCCTCGTTGCTAGATGACACTAGATCTTATATCTTCAAAATGCTCAATGTAATCTCAGATAGAATGTCCTTGGCATGCAGCCAAAGATTCGTCAACTTACAAGCTGAAGCTTAATCTTAAGGACGTCTAACATAAAGGATGTGGCATACATTCCCTCAAGTATGGACGAAACGCGTTGCTCTGCCTCTGCGCTAGCTGACTACGATTATTGTTTAATGATCAGAGATACATCTTGGTTGAATGCTACTCGTCCTGACCACAAGGGAGTACATTGGTGCGTCGGCTATGAGTGCAGCTGCTGTTTACCTATCTAACCCTCCACCGAATAGTCCGCTTTTTCTTGATTGTATTACAAGTTTGACTGCCTTCCACCTCCAGTAGCCCCCGGACGAGTCCTAGATTTGGGCTTGAGCTCTTTGAAGAAGTCCACCAAAGAACCTGCTTTCTCAAACCCACAAGTTAAACTGATATACCCATCCGGCCTCAACAACACCAACAACCCTTCCTCCTTGCTAATCCCCAACCGCTCATAAACCCGCCCATGACCTTTATGGTAGCTCTCATCGTCCGCATACACACACCAGTAATCCCACCCTTCCTCGTCACTCCAGGGCCGGAAGACTGGGTGTAGATCTAACAATTCCACATACCCTCGCTTCGCGGCATGTATAGTTATGATTTCCAGTCCTGAGCTGGGAGCGAGACTCGAGGCAAGCCATTCACCTAGCTGAATATACCGGGAGAAAGTCACCCCCTGCGAGAGGTCGCCGGGGAAGACGAGCAGCCGGAAGCGCCCGTGACTGGTGAAGCGGTGGTAAGCCTGGATTGGGACGGCGTCGGATTGGTTAACCATCTGGAAGTCTGGGAGGCGTTTTCCCGGTGCTAGCTTAACGGCGCGAGGTTGAGATTTCGTCGACACTGGCCGCACAAGCAGCGACGGCGGATACTGGATGTGAATCCCTGTTGTGAAAGCCTGGCCGGCAAGATATGCATCGAGAAACTCATCATGTGTGATATCCTTCCGGGCAAAGTACTCCAGGTACGCTTTGTCGAAGTCAATGAGCGCCTGTGCCACGGGCCTACGCTCGGACTGGTACGTTGATAAGAGCCCGCGATCAGCCTTCTGCTCTAGGACATAGCGCAGCTTCCATCCAATGTTGTATCCATCCTGGATACTAGTGTTCATCCCTTGTCCCGCCTTAGGCGAGTGCGTGTGGACTGCGTCCCCGGCTAGGAAGATGCGGTCGTATCGTGCAAACTCGTCGGCGACGCGCTGGCCGACGTTGTATGCAGAGGACCAGGGGATCCGACTAGCTTCGAGGGTGTATGGTGCGAGGATTGCTTGAGCGGCCTCGAGAATTTCCTCAGGCGCGATGTTCTGTGCCTTGATGGATGTGTGCCGGGTGCCACCGTCCATGCTGATGTATAGCCGGACAAGTTTATTTTCACGGGGAACGCCCATGACGGTGCCGACCTTCGAATGCACAACGAAGACCTTGCGGATGTCGGGAAAATTGGTTTTCGGGACGAGATTCATGACGCCTGTTCAATTGCATTAGATCTGGAACCGGACGGGACTTCTGAATCTACCTACTCACCCCATGTTGAGTCTGTTAGGTCTCCCGAAAACCCAATCTTGAGATACTTGCGTAGCCAGCTGTGCGCCCCGTCCCCTCCCACCACATATTTCGCGCGTATCGTCTCCCGGATCCCAGTCTCTGTGTTCTGTACCGTCAACGTGCTGGGATATGCCTCGGGATCATCTATCCTCGAGAGATCGGTATGCAAGGCAACAGGCTGTGTATTCCAACTAACCCGGACACTCCCATGTTTATACAAATTCTCCACCATAACGCGCTCAATCTGCCCTAGACCACACAGTCAGTCCATCACCACTTTCCAATCCTCATGTATTTGTCTCAGCCCACCCTGATCAAGTGTAACTTCCCTCGCCTTGCCCAACTCCTCTACACGATCGGGGATCGTCATCGTCCGGCTAATGACTCCGTCCCTCTTTGGATCTGGATTCCACAGCACAATCTCCTCACATGGTTGTGCATCTTTAAGAATTGTATCCCCAATCCCAAAGGAGTCCAGCACCTCCATAGAAATGCTTTTCAGCCCATCTGCACGCCCAACCTGCAACGGGGCCGCCTTGATGTCGATTAATCGCACGCGAAGGCGGCTTCCGTTGAAGGAGTTGGCCGTGGTTAAGCTGTTGCAAGACCGCACGGGGTTAGCTACCTTCCCACTTCTGACTTACTGATAGATGCGGAAAATAAGTTAAGACTGACCCAGCTGGCCCCGCACCAATAATCAAGACGTCGACATCATCCGTTGCGGTGGCCATGGTTTCGTTCCTTGTCTATATCCTTCCAAATGAATTGTACGGTTTTGCTGTGACACGCGAGGCAGTTTACAGCTTAAGCTTAATGAATCTATCAGGTAAACTCGGTGCACCCATCCGACAGCTGCTGTAGGGATAAACGGCTCCTTCAGTGATGCGTTCGGTATAGAGTGGATGAGAGACTCCATGCATTTCGGGCCGATTGTCAGAGCCAGCCGAACCGAACCGGAGCCGAATAGTTCGACTTACGGAGGAGCCTGTAGCAGGCCGGCGAAACAATTACCGAAGCAATGGAACCTTGGGGATCTCTAAACAGTATACAGAGAGGTGGTTCGTATCCACTCGGCCTTTGTCGCGTGGCATGACGTGGAATACCCTAGATGGTTATGAACCATATTCCTCGGACTGAAAATGCAAGTAATCTGGCAGGTAGAACCGGTTCGACAATTTGTCCAGAGATAGTAGTTTATGAATCCTACATTGAATTTTTATGTAGTCAGAGCTTCGTTCAGTTGTACATTGTATATGTGGACATTCCCTGAGTACCCAAACAGACCAAAACAGACACATAGAAACTTCATAATTGGATTCTCGATAGTAGATACCACCTACATCTCGGATAAGACCTAGTTACCAATCTCCCCTTCCCCTCTCAGCCCCTTCAAAACCTCCTCAATCTGCTCACGAAACTCCCTCACCTCATCTACAGTATTATAATGCACAAAACTGACCCTAATCAGCCCCTCCTTCCCACAGTCCAAGACATCATGCGTCGGCCTCGGCGCCCAACAATTCCCACTAACAACCCTAAACCGGCCTTTCTGATTGATTGCATCCACCACAGCAGTCGGCGAGACACCAAGCACCTGGAACGTAATCACTGGCACGCGCTTGGCGGGATCGGAAGACTTTCGACCGAAGATCCGGAATGTATCAGGCCGGGATCGGAGGTATGAGAGGAACACCTCCTGCAGGACAGTTTCCTGCGCGATGATGTTGTCCCACCCGACTTTGTGGATGTACCGGGTGATATGGACAAGGCCCTCCTCCAGCTCGAAGGAGTTAGCCCCGAGTCGAAGCCGCCAGTCAAGGCCTGGCATGGAGCCGAGGAAGAAGTGGGCGATGCCTGTGAGAGCGCGTTTTTGCGTCGCGCGCCGGCCGTACAGTTGTGCCACATGCGGCCCAAAGAGCTTGTACCAACTAAAGCAGTAGAAGTCTACATCTAGCGCCTTAACGTCGATGGGGCGGTGCGGTGCAAAGGCCACCCCATCAACAACGAGCACAGCCCCCGGGATCGCGTGGACGAGATCCGCGACCTGCCGGATAGGATGAATAGTCCCGACGACGTTGGAGACATGGTTGCAGGCCACGATGCGGGTTTTGGGTGTCAGCAGCGGCTTCAGTGTTGATAGGGAAAGGACAGGGTCGTCCCCGTCGGATGCCGGTGGGGCCCACCATTTGATAGCAATGTTCAGGTCTTTGGCTAGAGCTATCCAGGCGGCAGCGCTGGCTTCGTGGCAGAGGTTTGAGACAATGATCTCACAGTCGGCGTTTAACAGGGGTTTTAGGGCTTGGCCTAGAGACCGGAGGAGGAAGGTTGTTGATTGACCGAAGGCTGGGATTGTTAACGACTTGTTAGGCACTCTGAGATGTGGGAGATGGGTCCAGGTGGGGTAGGTACGTACCAATCTCATCAGGCTCAGCATTGATAAATGCAGCTAGCTCTGCGAATTTCTCATCCATGCGCTGCGTCTTTGCTGCGCTGGCTGGGTCGTTGCGGCCGAGCTCGTAGGGGAACGATGTCATGTAGCGTTGTGTGGCTTCAGCAGCTTCGTGGTGCAAGACGGTTCCAGCTGCGTTGTTGAATGGCACAACGCCCTGGTGTAAGGCGGGAAACTCTTTCCTCAGACTTTGTACATCAATTGCATCTTCTACCGGCGCTGCTGCGCTATCTTGCGAGCTTGTTGGTGTCCATACTGCGTTCGGCATACTCAAGAACCCTGCCTTGATGAGGTGGGTAACATTAGCTTCAATGGCGGCTAGGACTCCAGTGCTGGGGGATAGCGGTGCGCCGTCAATGACGCCGACTGGATCATCACTGGCTTCGAGCAGGTACAGCAGTGGGAACAGCGGGTGCTTCTCTCTTTTCTCGGATACGGATTGCTGCACCTTGAGGAGCCACTGGGAGCGGGCGAGCGGTTGCAGGTCGAAACCGAATTGATCGCGCAGTAGAGCCC